GAGGTGTGGCCTTGTTGGAGGAAGTATGTTGCTGGGGCTGGTTCTGAGGAATCAAAAAGTCCTTTTCAAGTCTAGAGTCTTTTCCTGCTGCTTGTGAATGTGGATGTAAAACTCGCAACTTGTCCAGTACCAAGGCTGTGTGTCAGCATGCTTCCTGCCATACTGAAAATGGACTAAACCTCTGAAACTGTAAGCAAGCCCCAATTAAATGCTTTTCTTTATAAGAGTTGCTGTGGTCATGATGCCTCTTCACAGTAATAGAACAGTAACTAAGACACTCTGTAAAATGAACAGTTCTATTTTATTTTGTGTATGTGCTGAAGTTAAACTCATCATCACAGAGAGAATACAAAATAATTAACTTCCCTATTGGCTACATTTGAACATGTATCCTATGTTTTGGCTCTAATGGTTAATTTTGTGTCAACATGAGGAGCCTAGGGAACCTGGACATTGGTCAAAGCTTATTTCTGGTTGTGACTGTATCTCTGAATGAGGTCAATGGTTGGATTGGTAGACTGAGTAAAAAAGATTGCCCTCCCAATGTGAGAAGGCCCTATCCTGTCTGCTGAGGATATTCTTTCTTTCTTTCTTTCTTTCTTTCTTTCTTTCTTTCTTTCTTTCTTTCTTTCTTTCTTTCTTTCTTTCTTTCTTTCTTTCTTTCTCTTATTTAATTTTTATGGAACAGAAGGGTTGGGAGTTGAGAAAAAGGAATTCCTCTTGCCTGTCTTTAAGCAAGGGCATCATTCTCTTCCTTGCCTTCAGACTTGAATTGAAATGTTGGCTTTCACTGGGCTAAGCCTTGAACTAGAGCTATGCCATTGGCTTTTTGTTATGAGACCTATATATTGGCCTAGAGCAGCACTATCTCTCCCAGGTTTTCACCTGACACACTGCAGATGTGGGGACTTCTCAGTCTCCTTAAAGACAAGAGTCAATTTCTTATAATAAATAAGAACAGTGTTATATCTAACATATATTATATAATACAAATTGTACACATACATATAATATATATGTATATGTTAGACAAAAATGACACAAACGCATTATGTATTGGTTCTGTTTTGCTAGGAGACCCTGGCTAATACTCTGGTTAACCCTTGGCTGATATATTAATAGCAAAGCATTTAGTGTAAATGCAATTAATTCTCTGCAAAATTCCAAGTAGACCAAAAAGACTAAAGTCTCTCATTTCAGCAGTTATTGTAACTATAGAGTTTACAGTTTGGGATATAAATAGCTACACTCAAATTCATTTTCATTGTACAATTTTTAATAATAAATTAAAAATTAGAGAAGATAATTTGAGGAATTTTGACCAGTCGTATGCTAGATTTGGCTAAGTAAAGAAGAGTGACATGTGATTCAAGTGGGTTTTGAGTACTCTGTTGCAAGAGTTGACAGAAATTCTTAGCAAAGAAAAATAGTGACTTTCGTTTGTTAGAGTGTATAAATAGTTCACAAAAACACACAACACAGCAAGGTACTTACTGTCATCATTACCTCATCTCTATCTTACTTTACATGTGTTGGTTATGATTTCTGGTGGGAGTCTTGCAATGAGATATCTAAAGTTGTTACTCAGGAGACCAGCACAGTTAACAATGGCACATATTTGTACAGTTTTTGCACATATAATATCTTTATAAACAATGATTCCTTACACAGTTGCAGCAAGATTGTGTTTATTATTTTTTCTGCCTTTAAAATGAGAACCCGAGATAAAGAGGCCAAATTCTTTTTTTTTTTTTCTTTTTAGTTACATTTTGTTAACTCTGTGTCCCAGCTGTATCCCGCTCCCTCATTCCCTCCCCAACCCCACACTCCCTCCCTGGTCTCCTCCCTGCCCCTTTCCAAGTCCCCTGATAGGGGAGGACCTCCCCCCCTTTCATCTGACCCTGTTTTATCAGGTATCTTCAGGGCTGGCTGCAAAGTCCTCCTCTGTGGCCTAACAGACTGCTCCTCCCCTGGGGGGGGGGGGTGTCAAACAGAGGCCAAATTCTTTAAATGTGTATCCTACATATAAAAATCAATCTGCCTTAATTTGTTACATTAAAAACTAGACATAATCTAACGATTTAAGAGGTAGATGAAGATATGAACACTGAGAATACCGTGCATATGCTTAGAATGATATTATGTTAAATGAAATAATCTTAATGAACTCAAAATTGGTTCACACTCATTATGTCTTAGTAGAAGTCAGCTATTCATGAAGGCAGGGGCCTGTGCACGTGGTAGAGCATGGCAGACATCCCCTCTCCTCTGAGAACTCTCCAGGTGGGAGTGCTTCCTTCCAGGGACAAGTGGAGCTCAACACATTTCATACCCTGTGTCATATTCCTTGGCATCCATTTTTCTTACAGTGCCTTTCCTTGTACTTCTCATCTAAACATCACATACTTTTTCCAAATTTCCACTGCTTATGAAAAGAAACTACAAAAATCTTTGTGTTTATGCGTGCCATGTATATATGCATATGCACATTCCCATGTGTATCCGTGTGTATGTATGACCTGCATATCTCTGCACGTATGTGGAGGTCAAAGGACAACCTCACATGTTAGTCCTCTCCTTCACCGAGTTTGAGGCAGGGTCTCTTGTTTGCTGCTGCCTGTACCAAGCTTGCTGAACTGTTTGCTTAGCATCTCTGCTTAGAAGCCCTGGGATTACAACTGTGCACTACCAGGTCAGGCTTGAAATGGGTTTTGGGGGTCTGAACTCAGGTCTTCATGCTTGTATGGCAACCTTTGTCACTGAGCACCCACCTCAACCCCTAAAACAAAATTTTTCTTCATTGCTTTTAACCCTCAGAATTTAGAGCCTTAGAGTTAACTTCTACAATGAGTTGGGTTTTGGCCTTTGTCATTGAAATGAAAATGCTCATACTGCTTCATCCTCACACCTTAGCAAATGAATCTATTCCAGTTGCCACAGAAATATTGCTCCCTGGGCAAATATCTGTGAATACACAGTCTGGCTCCTTGGTCCGGGCCCAGGTTCCATGCACACACGTTCCCACTTTTATAAATTCTTACCACCTCTGAAAACTCACCCCCTCCACTTTTTATGCCATCCCTTTGCTTTCCATGAATAAAATAGCAGGACCAAGTTCGTCAAGATTCTGTCAAAAGCCCCTGCAAACTCCATCTTCTCCTGTCTTTAGTATTGCCTCCAGATTCTAGCAGAATAGAGCCTATCTTCCTGCCCCCAAGCATGTGGTGTGTGCCTAGCCTTCCATCTGAAGAATTTTTACCTGGATTCAGTCCATCCAGGAGCTCTTTCCTGGTGCCTTATCATTAGATGTTCAGTCCATGTCTTTAAAACATCACAGTACTCCTCTTTGTGTGTAATACAGCAATAATTTTGCATGGCACATGTGTATTATAGGACTAGGCTGAACCACGTCGTGTTGCTAATGATTTTATCCTATGTGGTGCTCCCAGACAGTTTGCTCTAGTGTTCCTTTAGTTTCAGAGCCCTAACCAGGTAAAGAGCAGACTCCATGAGAGTGAGTTGAGCTCTGCCTTTTCACCCAATCCCCTAAGAAGCCATGAACACTGAGTTCAAACAATGTTAATCAAAATAAGACTTTTGATCAATATACAAATTTCTATTAAATCAGTCCTTGACAGCAATTAGTCTTACTGAATAGGAAAGACCTGTTACACTCTTCATGCTACCTGGTACAGGAAAGGGGCTTTAACTCTAAAAGTTCTCATAATAAACTGTATTTAGATTCAAGAAACAGTTTTAAGACCATTTATTTGTGAAGGAAACAATCTTAGGTTTAGAAGTTGGCAGGTACAGTGAAAAGCTTTTTAGTTGACTGAAATAAAAAAAAGAAAATCAAAACAGTTTTTAGCATAGGCGCTTCCCTTATGAAAACAAATTGCCTGAAAGCAAAGCACAGCAGTTTCTGCACAATGAGTGTGAGTCCCACCCCATCAGCAGGAGCAAGGAGAATGGCAGAAGTGATTTGCATTTCTATAGTTTCTTTGTATACCCACATTCCAAAAGCATTTCACAAAGCAGCAAATATCTTGGCCCACAAGAGGACTGACTGGACTGGGCAGTCTGAGGCCCAAGTACAGCACAGATCCCCACTCAGCTGTGAACTGGAGCAAAATTACCCCATACACAAAGAGAGTGGACTTGCTTTTCCCTGCATCTAATCATCTCAGTAAGTGTGGCTCATATATGCCAAGCCTCCCAACCCACTCCCCCCCCCCAAAAAAAAAAACCCACTCACTGTTCTCTTATTCTAGGCAATGGGCTTGCTCATCAGTTCCTAACCAGTTCCTTTCAAAACTCATTTCTTCAAATGTGCAACATACAATAAAGAGGGGGTTTCCGTGCCACAGCAGGGGCAGATACCCAGGAAGCAACAGGAGGGAAGCAGATCCCCATAGTTTACTTAGTGCTGTATAATGGGCGTAGGCCAGGGTAGCTTTACCTGGGCTTGGATATAAAAAAAATGGACTTCTGCTGCCTGTCTGATTCTCAGAGCCCTCTGCGAACACGGCTCGGGGCCAGCCCCTGCTGTAGTCCAGGCAGCAGCTCTGACTGTCCTCCAGGGGTCACAGTTGGGTTGTAAATCCCTCACTGAGCATGGGCTGAGCAGCCTGATTGGGAACAATTTATTTGAATCCTTCTTCATTAAGATTCAAATGAAATAAGGAAGGTAAAAATTGAACAGACTCAGAAATTGTGCCTTCCTGCTCCTGCAGTCAGTAAACATTTATTCACTAAGCTCCTGGCTTCTCTTTCCCTCTTTCACCTTACTCTGACTTGCTCCTCCAATCCTTCCTGCGTACTGTTTTAATGCATAATTAAGAAGGTCAGAATTAATGAAGCAGTGTGGAGTAAAGTTCAAGGAATCCCCAGGCACTATTTATTCTATTAGATCTTGGGCATGAATGTCAGATTGGCAGTGTGAGCGGCATGGGCATTGGCCCTGGCTGCATCCCAGGAACCACCCACCTAGGGAGACTCACCTGCACAGTCAGGTGATTCTGAAGCTCCTTCCCAGCAAAAATCACACGCAGCTGGTCAGCTGGAACCCCCTGTCGCTTAGCAACCACTTCCTTGAGCTGGAAGATTCTGGTGTCAGAATCGACCTCCACTGGAAAACCATAGCTGGAGTTGAACCGGACCAACACTAAACAAGAACATGGGCAGAGAGAGAAGAGAGAGCGTTACTCCCACTCCCAGCCTGGAATGGCCAGTGGAACTTCTCCGAAGCCACTTGCTCCTCACCTGCCCTCCAGTGAATGACACAGACTATCTCTCATTTATAACAGAGAACTTTATAAGGTAGAGCAATGGTTAGGGGGAAAAAAAAACAGTTTTCCCAAGGTGTTTCCTGCTTGTGCCCTAGTCAGTGACCTGCAAACCAAGATTGTATTCATTGTGTCTTTAATATCTATCCTGCAACAGAGGGAGTCAGGTGGAACACTTGCTTGGTTGGAATATTAAGATTCCCATGAGTTTATAGACTATCCTGCTCCAACAGACTGAACAAACAACCCCTCCCTCCACAGAGAGGACCCACTGCATAAAAATCAAAGGCAGCGTGTGGATGCTCCAGAGAGAAACAGAGGAAATGGAAGCCACGGTGTAGACAAGTGAATAGGACCAGGGGCCACATGATAGGGCTCTGGGCTTGGGGCTCTATGAAGGGGCTCTGGAGTCTGTGAAATGGTTGTAGGCTCTGGGTAAGGACTCTGGGACCTGTGTAAAGATTTTGCACTCTGTGTTCTTCACTCCCAGGTCTCAGTAGATTTCTAGAGAGATCGTAAATTAATGCCAAATCTGCTGTTGCAACTGCTCTCGTTAGACTCTGGCTGGAACTGACAACCTTTCTCACATTCTTCTCAGTTCCCCTGTCAAACTATCTCTAGCATTTTTTCACATCTACCAGCTGTTTCCAGTCATTCACCCTTTCCTCACTATTCAATATCAGGCTTTCATTCAATACCTTCTAGATTCCTATGCCATGTGTGGTAAGGCATGCCTCTAATCTCAACACTCCAAAGCAGAAGCAGCTGGATCTCTGCATTCTACGCCAGCCTGCTCTACACAGCAAGCTCCACAACAGCCTAGGCTACATAGAGTCCCTGTCTTAAAGAGGAAAATAAAACAAACAAACAAAAAATACTTTCTAGATTCTTGCATTTAGCTTCTCAACTAGTCTACTTTCAGTTTTGTAGTAAATTCTTTTGTTTTTAATTTAAAATTTTCTTCAAAATAGCATACAAAATGTTAAACAATGGTGTCAGACTGAGATAGGAACTTTCCAGTCAACTTTTGGGACAGGAACCTCAGTTCTTATCCTTGCTATGGTTCTGTCCTGGCTGAAGGTCAGAAGCCACACATGTGTTTGGGGGCTCTCGCTCCTGACCTAGTTTCTTGTTATCTTTCTTCTCCTTTTATATAGTTATCTGAAACCACAAATGAGCGTGCCACCAAATCTCCAGTCCAGACACACAGATGGAGAGGCACAGGACATCTCATGGTTGGACAAGGTAGAATTATTTCCCTACCCCCTGTTTCAACCCAGAAATGCAATATTACCCTCCTGCTGGGGATCCCTATTGCCAACACATTTCTTGGTCCTACTGCTTGAGCAGTACCTATGCTTGTGTGACAGGGCCGAACAGTGTGGAGGTCCCTCCAGGAAGCAGTACAGCACAGAGGTTAAAAAGGCATCCTTCAGAAGTAGGAGTGATATACAAGTCCTGTTGCTCCTTTATTGTTTAGTGGGCTAAAGGTAAATATATCAAACCCCCCTCTTCAATTCTCAACTTCATGACCCTGAAAAACGGATAGACTTTGGATGATGTTGTGTGACACAATGAACAATGTTCACAGTGCTTATACAGTAAGCTTCAACATTAATGGATATCTGTGTGTGTGTGTGTGTGTGTGTGTGTGTGTTCATTGCATGTAAGTGTAACACTAATGCTCAGTAGTTCTCAGCTCAACTGTGAGATGATCTGCTTAATAATATTTAGAATAAAATAATAACTATAGTGTCAGGGATAACCAGGCACTTACACCTGCTGGATTACCAGATTACCCTAGGTAATCTGGTCAGCTCAGTATTACTATACAATAGAGCAGCGCATGAAGTCCACAGAACTATAGTCACTGTTCTGTGGACACCAGCTTCTTTGTAATAAAATCAGAATTCATATACAGCTCATTCCATCCCTAGAGTAGCTGTCTAAGACCATCTGGGAGGAAAGAACATACTCCCTTTTCTCATGATAGAAAGGATTAACAACAGCAGTGCAAAAGCTCACTTCCTAATACAATGCAGTATTCCCTATACAAAAGAAAACTGGATAAGAAAGAAAAGAAAAGAGAAAAATGGTTCCAGGGAAGGAGCCAGCCTCTCAGAACAGGGAACAATGGTTATGAGAGACAGTGAAATAGAAATGACACCAACAGAGAACAGATGGTGCAGAGAACATTAGAGTAGAAGACCGCTGTCTGTTAAATATCTATAAAAGGTGATGCCCAGAAGAATAAGATATTCATGAAAAATACTAAATATCGAGAAAATGTGGCTTCTGTGTGTGTATGTGTGAGTGTGTGTGTGTGCACACGTGCGCACGCGATTTCATTCCACACCTTTGAAAATACAGGTGAAAAAAAAGAAAAAGATACACTAATAGCTGTCTTATATGCATAACATCTCAGATAAAGACTCAAAGACAACAAAACCATCAGTTATGTCACATGACAGGAGACTACACAGGACAATGACACGGTCATATTCTAAATTTTATCCGTTTTTCTACTACTGTGAATATATATTTTTTAAAAAGACAACACCATGGAGATGATGTAGAAGGAAGCTGCTGGGAACCATATTGAAGGTACTGTAGAACTATATTAAAAACCCCAAGAGACTATTCTAATGTTTTTTCTCAAGGATTAAATTGTGAAAATCCTACTGCAAGTGCAGGAGGAAAAGGTAAAATAATAACAGCAGAAATGAAACAATAAAAATCTGTATAACTGTTCAAATCATGTTTTAGATTTTATTAAGTGTTTATTGTTCTATAAATAGTCTTAGGTTCAATTTGCACAAATTATGAAAATTATATACAAATGGATATTTTTGAATAGTAAGTCTATTATACAAATTGATTTTTTAATTAAATGATCAAGTAAACCTACTGTAGATATCCAGTCAACAAAAATGCTTGCGTGGCTAAGAAGGACATCTTAACAGTAGGCAGGTCAATAACCAAATGTCATGGGGAAATGTACCATATCCCATATGTACAGCCCCTCAACTCCAGCCATGATTCCTAAGTGGGGAGAGGCTCACAGAAATCAAGGCACCTTTAGAGCCAGAACATCAGTACTTTGACTCCCGGACACTCTATCTCCTAATTTTATAATTTAGGACAAGTTGTCTGGTATCCTCCACTCCAGGTTGCCTTGTCTACAAAGGGTCTACCAGTGGGACAATATACCTCCAGCACCTGTTCCAGATTTCCTGTGATTGTCTTTCAGAACCATCCTGAGTCCTTACTGCAAAAAAGAGTTCCTTACTGTCTAGAGGAGCTGGAGCTCATTTTAAAGCCACAGTGCTGTTTGTGTTCAACTATGGAAGAGTACATGGTATTTGGTAAATACTGAGTAAAGCAGATTGTCTCAGGTCTTATCACTGTGTTGGATCCAAATCCTCTAAGAACAGAGATAAAAGAGAAATTTGGCTAGTCATTATTTTCTGAGATTTGATTATATAGTACAAGTTTGCAGTTTGTTTAGTCGTGTTCTTCTTTGTCTTTCTTCTTCTTCTCCTTTTTCATCTTCTTCCTTAGTACATTATTATAAAACCTCTTGCAGCCAGAAGTGTCTTATCACCTTTAATAAATCACATGAGTAAGGCAGAGCATCAATGACAATACACTCAGAAGAAAAACCATGAGATGCACGACCAATTTTCTTTGAGACAAGGTCTACCATGTGTCTATTTAGTCCAGACTGGTCTCAAGCTTGCCATTCTCCATCTTAAAAGCTGAAAAGATACTATTTTTTTCCCTTGTCATTTGGCTTTCATTTCCCTAGGTACTGGTGATGTTAAGTAATTTACAGGAGATCCAGGCTTTTGGTAAGGAAGTACTTTTGCAGGTATGAAGAATCACGTAAGCATTTTATCTGAGACAACCAAACAAAAGCAAGGCCCAAAGAAAATACTAACATCATCATATAAATTGGCTCTGTTCATCCACCAGGGCAAGACCTGGCTTCCAGGGGAAAGAATGTTCTAAAGTCCATAAGACTTTAGCTACAGCTGTACCTGGGTAAATACCATGAGCAAGTTTTGCTCCAGTAGTTAAAAATTGCCTAGGTATGTATTTTCAACCTGTGCTCTGGCAAGGCTTTCCTTCTCTTTTGAGAACTATCTGTAAGCCTAGTAACTTGTTTGAAACAAGAAAATGAGCAAACAAGCAAACAAAAACCATGTGTTCTCATTCCCCTTTAGTTGCAGACCCATTTTTCTGCATGGATAACTTTATTGAGAATTACTTATATTTCTATTCTCTATTTTTTTTTTAAAAATATTGCTGTACACGTCCATTTTGGAAGATTGCTTGTGGTAAATTAATGCCCTTCATATTTTCAATCCAGCATCACTTTCCTTGTATCATATATGCCCTTTGGAGGTACTCCATATCGTCTGTTATAAGATTTATAATACTTTTCCCCTTGGCATCTGCCTCTACAACCTTCTGGTATCCCCCTGTATCACAGGGCAGACTTCTGTGATTTCATCTTCTGGTTTCTCTTCCTTTGTTGCACTTACACACTTTTAGAACGGCACATGATTGTTAGGACGCTTTTTCTTTAGTATTTGTGTGCTGTCCAATGTGGCTTCATCCAATACAGGGCCATAGTTTTTGTTCAGATTTGCCATCTCCCTGGAACTGTAGATATCCACATTTACTAGCATCCAAGAGGTGCAATAAAATGAACATGGTCCCAGGACTTTGGTGTATTGCCACTATCTTTGATTGGTTGGTACCTTTTGTTAACTACATCTATAACATAACCTGAACTGTCTAACTTTCTTATTCTTCATCAACGACAATATGTTCCAATCTGTCATCATCTTTCGGAATGCTGCAAAGTTGCCTC